GCTACGGGCGGAACCACCGGGTCGTAGCCCCCGTTGACTGTCAGTATTCTAAACTTAGAAAACCTTTAGGGGCCCCCTTGATGTGGTTTGTGCGAACCCTTCCTTTAGGTCCTTATAGTAACTTCAATTTTATTAGAATTATTTTTGTTTTATTTTAGATACCCAAACTCCTTTTACACACTCGCAAAGTCCTAAGGGTTAGTAATAACAAATTTTTCACCCATATAATATTAGTGACATTTAAGGACAATAATTAAGGACTGAGTCTTAGAAAACCTAGACTTAGGATGCATGTACACTTTCGGATAGAAATATATAACATAGAAAACTTAGTGACACCTCACCTTAGGATTAGTGAATATTTTTAAATTAAAATTAAATCAATTAGAATACTTTAGCCAATAATTGACCTAGGATATATCAAAACCTCACAGCTTACTACACACACTTAGATTTATTTGCTAGGACAACCGACTCTAGTTTTAGGTTAGGCCGGTGTTTATTTTCTTACTGCATTGTGACGGGCTTTCTCGGCTTTATTGCATGTTGGATGTAAAATTATTGGTATGTTTGTTTATTTATTTTTACTACACTCTAAGATGTGATTTGGTTGACGATTAGATTACCCATAGGTTAGGAACGATCTGGTTGTTAATAAAATTTTTTGTAGATGGCCACACTCATGCAGGGCAGCAAAGAGGGGGCTAATTAATCAATAATCATATAAATGCTATAGGTACTTCAGCTGCTTAGCCCCCAAAATAAAAAGGAGTGTGGCCAAGTGTGGCTGATAAATTTAATTCAAATGCAAATATATAACTGCTTGAGATAATTTTTATTATAAATTGCTTAGGATAACCCTGCAGGTGGACTAGATTTTTCTTCTCTTTTTGTAAAATGAAATATAATGTAAATATAATACATCAAGAGTCAAAAATGTGAAAGTGATTTTGAAAATGGGATATTACATTCAATTTGGAATCCGAAGAAAAGAGAATATACCTTATAAAGGATTATTCTCTTTTATTTGGAAAGCCAAATTATGATGATTCAATATCCAAATAGAAAAGAAAATACCCCTCTTAGGGATAAGTTTCTTTTCATTTGAATATCCAGAACCCGGCAGACCCAAGAAGCTAGTAGAAGAAAAAAAGACAGAATGAGAAGATTGAAGAAAGAAGACGAAGAAATAAAGACTCAAGGAACAGTATATTCCAGTTCAAAAATCACTTGCGTCATTCTTAGGATTAGAATCCGGATTTATTGTCAGTGGTGCCCGACCACTTTACTTTTCTATAAATTCTGGGTGTAATATGGACATTAGACATTGGATACTATAATTTTGGATTATTTAATTTGTTTGTTTACATTATTTGTGTAGTAGCTTTTTTTTAGGGCCCTTGCATGTCGTGTTTTGCTTTAGCCTGGATTCGAATCGAAGAGATTTTTTTCGTAAGGGTAAGCTTAAAATTCTTCTACTTGTAATTTTAATAAAAAATTTTAGGCTCACATAGTAATTCTAATGTTCTAAGAAGTAAGCTCGAGAATGCCGAGAGTCAGCATAAGCATATTAATACTTTCTCTTCCTTGTTAGGCACCTCCCCGTCTGCGGGTTCTGGCAAACCACTTGACCTATGAGGGTGCAGTTCTATCAAGGGGAAGTTATGCAATCTCTAGGGAAAAACCTATTTTCTAAACCTAATTTTAAAACTGCTTCATATTCATTTTATGCATTCGAGTCAATTAGCATGCATTGCATTAGATACAAAATAAAAAGAGTCTAAAATGTTAACTGCATTTTTAGGCATAACTCACCCTACATAAGTTGAGGGACTAATTAGGAACTGTCTTAGATGTCAGCCCCAATTCATTAAAATTTAAACAACATCCCTACATATCTTTCATAAGAGACTGGAAACATGATTTTAAAGCGCTTAGGTGGTTAGCTGGCTCCCCAATCCAGGCCGGGATAAGTCCAGATTTGCTTTTCATTAGTTAAAGTTGGGTCACTATTTTATAGTACCCAAATTAGATTTAGGTTCTGAGGCAGATTCTTTTTAGATCTTAAGTCCTCACCCTCCGGGAATATAAATCCCAAATTTCTAATAAAATGTCAATTTAAACATAAAATTTCTCTCTTAAAATGTAAAGGCCAACATAGGATAGACTGAGGTTGCCTCTGAGCTTCTCAGAATCTAGCTCCTCCTACTTTTTCTCCTTTGACTCGCTAATAAATGTTCAACATTAAACTTTCTCCTTAAAAAATCCTTACTTATGTTCCTTGTCTCCTACTTTGTAGTCAAAAGGGTATGAAATCACTACTTTAATCGAGAGTTTTCTTAGGAGTATCCCTCCTAGGATGTAATTAACTATAGAAGCTTGCTTCTATAGGGATTTGAGAACTCAAGACTAAAATAAACCTTGTTTTATTCATATGAAACGTGGGAAAAATCTTTGGGAACGTAGATGTCTTTAAAAACTTAATTTCTAATGTTAAGTATACTTATAGGATGTTATATTATCTTTTTAGATAATGTAATGTCCTGTTTGTTATATTCAATTTTAGAAATGATGCATTTTATAAAACTCATTCTTGCTTTTGGATGTCTTGAAAAATGTTATATTCGTCTTTTAAGATAATACAATATTCTCCTTGCTATATCTAAATAAAAGAATGAATAAATTTTTCAAAAAAGCTTATTTCTATTTTTAAACACATTTTTAAGAATTTCATGTTTATTTTTCGAAATAATATGTTATTCTCTGAACTATGTTTGATTATAGAAATATCAATTTTCAAAAACCCTATTTTGATATTGAATCCATTATAGAATATTGTGTCAGTCTCTCGAGATTGTACTTTATTCTTAATGTAGTATTCGATTATAAAATAGGAGAAATCAAAGTCTGTGTGGTGACACAATTTTTCCCACCAGGGTTCACCTGTTGTTACTATTCCTATTTTAGCCCAGGTGGACTCTGTAGTGGTTAGGGATGTTCATGTTGCCCAGACCCCATGTTTAAGTGTTAGTGATGTTGGTGTAATGAATTGTGGTGTGAATTTGATACCTACTTTGTCTTGTGTGGTTTATATACATGTCACGTGCGGTTTGGCCACGGCTGAACTGCCTAGCAGGAGGATCACACACAAACACACACACACCAACCCACACACACACGCACGCACGAGCGCGTACACACACACACACACACACACACACACACACACACACACACATATATATATGTTCTGCTCTCATATGCATTCACTATCATGGACATATTTTCAAAATCAATTGAAAATGAAAATTACAAAAAAAAATTAAAGAAAGCAGTCTTATAATCATCATTTAGCTAATAAACCCATTGCGGCATGTAAGATGTGTGCTAGAATTATAGGGTGTAAATATTGATATGACACTAAAAGCAAGAAAAGTTTGCCACATCAAGCATAAATATGCATTTATTATAATTGCAATGCCACAATTTGTTATGTTACCACTTACCACTGCACAACCAAAATGGAAGTAATAAGTAATGCTGAATTTTTTATATGAAGAGATCGCTTCTTACTTGAAAAGCATAAGTGGTCCCACCAAAGAGAAATTGAGAATAGAAGTTGATTCTACACAGCATGGATGATATTTCCTAGTCTGTCAAATATTCTACTCTTTTCTAAACTTTTAGAAGAACAACATAATTTTGTATTGTAACAAAAATAAACCCTCAACCTTTTTCATCCGGGCTTAGGACCGGCATTGGCGATTTTAAAATTTTTTTATATAATGTTATCTCAAGAATAATATCACAAAAAAATACATCAACACATTTTACTAAACATAGGGCAAACATAAAATATGCCTTAAAGTAAATGCCTCATGACTGAATAAAGTACAAAGACAAAAAAGAAGATAATTTAAGGATGAAAAAGGAGTGTTTATATAGATCTTTATCTAAAGGGACATATGCACCAAGAAGATAATTAGCTCAGTTGGGTTTATAGCATAGATCAGTTTTATTGGACTGAGAGATTATGTTGGTTGGGAGTTGCACCAGAGCCATTAGAGAGACAAAATCTTGTTCCATATAACAATGATTCTACAAGCGTCAAGAAAGCTGCAAATAAGTTAATCAAGGTTATAAATTTGACCTTATCTCCCACAATGAAAGAGCAAGCACTGAAGAATCAGTTGAGGTTTGTTTATACAATATTGTTCGAGGTCTCTTAATCATAAATCAACTTCTGTTTACATAATATTAAAACACCATGCTTAGTTAAAAAAATGAGCTTAAGCTAAATTATAATTAAATACTTTTATTAGTTTATTGCCAACTTACATTAATTTATTTTTTTCATCAGCCAAACTGCTCAACTATACTTAACACTTAATTTGCCATCTAAAGCCCCCAACCAAACATATCCCAAGTTCAAAGAAGCAATTAAGCCTATTAAGTCTAATAATAAGAAGTTTTTTTTTTGGGTTAAATATTATTTTTTTATTCAAAAAATGAGGTAGAGGGCTTATTGTAATTTGTGCTTGACTAAACTGAAGCTTTTAAATTCAAATTTGATTTGGACTAATGTTATATATATACTATGTAAAGTCAATGGTTTATTGCATAATGAATTTGGCTGTCCATTCATAAGCATCATCATAGCATGTCATCTAGCTCTACTCTAATTGGACTATTTTAAATGTTTTAAAAATGTTTTAAGTTTATATTTTCCAAAGTTATTGCCCTTTAGAGAGTGTTGAGGCTATCTGGAAGGTTGATTGTAGTCAGTCTACTTGGCTATCTAACAAGGTGTCTTCTTCATATAGATGTTATTGTTACACAAAGTAACATCTTGCAAGCTATTTAATGTTTTGAGAAAGACTCAACTTCTTGTAAATGTAACTAAATGTATTATGAAAGATTTGGAATTTGATAAGTAAACCACAAACGGTTGCATTTAGATGTATATCATCTTATTTAATTAACTCTTTATAGATTTTTCCTCTGTTAGTTGGATGCATTTGGATGTATATCATCATTCTCAATCTGTTAGATTATTTATCGGTTGTGTAATTGAAGAAACCTTGCAATGCTTAATGATTTCACCTATTTTTCTTTTGGCTTCAATTCCCAATCTCAATATACAGTGCAAAGACCTCATGCTTTCGTGATCTTTAAATATTGACAAACATTTAATGCCGTAAACTAACAAGAAGGCTTGAAACTTTTCCTAGGTTAAGGACCAGTCATGGAAATTGAAGACATGAACATAAAAGCCAGAGCACAAAGCTTAAGCACATAGCAGAAAATCAATAATTAAATAGACGAAATTAATAAATGATTTTCGTCATAAAAATAATTACCTAAATTTGAAGTAGAGATTCTTTAAAGCAAAAAGAGTAGAGATCCAGAAACGAAAACCAAATCACGAAAGCGCTAAAGAAAAAAACATGTGATAATAATTTTACCAATTATATATATAAGGAAGAAAGACAACATGCGACAGTCATCTTACAGGAACCGAAAGGTCGGAGGTTGAAATGTTTCGACGGTTGAATTCATCTTCATGCATCCAAATAGTGAAAAAAGGTTGAAGCATTCCAGGAGACTGAATCAATTGGAGAAAAGATCTTCAAACGTTTAAGAAGTTGAAAACACCGAAATAAAAATGCGGGTAAGTAAATGCCGGGAAAAACTAACGTTAAAGAAATTTTGGCCAATAAACCTACCGGAGGAGATGACGGCGAGCAGAGGCAGCTAGATGTTGAAGAATTTCAGAAGACCGCATTAATTGAAGAAAGTATCCTAAAACGTTTAAGAAGTCGAAACACCGAAATAAAAATGTGGGTGATTGATTGTCGTGAAGAACAAACGTTAAAGAAGTTTAAGAGATCGAAACATCCATTTTGGAGAGAAACCTACCTAACGGCGAGTGGAGTCAGCTAGGGCAATCCGAAGATTATGGACGACGACGCAAAGACAAAAAGGTGAAGGTGATATTTAGGGACGACAGCACGAAGACGAAGAGGCAAAGTCGGATAGGTTTAGACCTGCACGAAACATTAATACATGAATTAATAAAACGTTGAGAAGAATGAAGAAATTAAATTAAATAACTTAAACGGACGGAAACTAAGGGAAAAAATTTTCTTCCAAACATTGATTAATTATTAAATGAAACTGACGGAACTTAGGGAAAATAATTTATTAATTCTTCAGAAGAATTAATAACTCCTTATTTATTTAATGAAATAATTAAATAAGAATTAATAAATTAAGAAGTTGAACGGACGAATAATATTTAATGAAATAAATAAATAAGAATTAATTAATTAAGAAGTTGAACGGACGAATAGATTAAGACCGTAAAATATTTAATGAGCTTTATATAAGAAATTTTTTTTATTTATTAAATATTTATAATATAATGGACGGCCAAAATAATTTAAGGAGAAAGAAAATGGATTATCAAGATTTACTGGAGGAAGGAAATTCAAACTTCTTTTATAATAGTAGTATAAATATATATCAATAATTTAATTGTTTTTTTTTTTTTTTTTTTTTTTTCATTTAAGCTTCCATGGCCGGCTTCGCCTAGCCGCTGATGGCCATGACCCATGACGATCATAAAACAGGTGCGAAGGCTTCGCCCATTAGGCAAACCTGCTCGTTTCTAGGGTTTCGTCATCCCGCTCTGTTTCTTCTTTTACGATTCAGTTTTCTAGGGTTTTCTCCGCCACGGGATCTCGAATGGGTGAGGTGGAGAACATTAAACAGAGATCAAGCAGGGAGAGTACGAAGGAGGTTTTAGGGAGAGGAGATAGGGATAGAGAAAGACACCGGGAAAAAGATAAGGCAAGGGATCGCGATTATGCGAGAAGCGACCGCGATCGGGAGAGTCAGCGGTCGGAGAAGGAGCGGGAAAGGGAGAGGAGCGACGATGAGAAGTACCGGGAAAGAAGAGATAGGGATTCCCGCTATCAGGATCGGGAGCGGAAGTCCAGAGATCGCGATAAGGAGAAAGAGAGGGATCGAGAAGATAGGGATAGGGATAAGGAGAGAGCAAGAGAGCGGGAGGAAAGGGAGGACAGGGAGAAGGATAGGGCGAGAAGGCGGGAGGAGAGAGAGCGGGAAAGAGAACGAGAAGACAGAGAGAGGGAGCGGGAGAGGGAGAGGGCTAGGGAGGAGAGGGCGAGAGATAGGGAAAGAGAGAGGGTCAGGGAGAAGCGACGGGAGTTGGAGAGAGATGAGGAGGATGATGGAAGGGACCATGATAGGAAGAGGCGCAGGAGAGAAGAATCTCATGAAAGGGAGAGGGAGCGCAGCAACAGGCATAGAGAAGGAAGTGCGGATGTCCACAGGAAAGGTGATGATGACGAGGCTGAGGCCAAGGAGAAAAAGACCCGAGAGCAAGATCTAGAAGAAGAGCAGCGCAAATTGGATGAGGAGATGGATAAGAGGCGGCGTAGAGTTCAAGAGTGGCAGGAGCTTAAAAGGAAGAAAGAGGAGCAGGAAAGAGAAAAGGATGGGAAGGTAAATGTTGAGGAGCTTAACCAGACTGGTAAAAATTGGACTCTTGAAGGGGAGTCCGATGATGAAGAAGCAGATGCAGTTAAGTCTGAGAATGATGCTGATGGTGATGAAGTGGCTAAAGATGTGGGTTCTGTGCGGAATGACGCTACTAGTGATGTAATGGACATTGATTATGAGAATAGAGGTGCTGTGTCAAATGGAGTTGATGTCGCTGATGGGGAAGATGAAATTGACCCACTTGATGCTTTCATGAATTCCATGGTACTGCCCGAAGTGGAGAAACTGCAGAGTGCAGAGAGTGCACCGGTGAAATCAGTTGATGCAAAGCTGGGTTCACAAGAGAGGAATAAGGAAGGCCTTAGTAACGGGATTCAATCTAAAAAAGGTGTCAAAAATCCATTGGGAAGGATACTTCCTGATGAAGACTCTGCCCCAGAGGATGAGGATCTTGGAAATGAGGTTCCTTCTGAAGATGAAGATGATGAAGATTTCATGAAAAGAGTGAAGAAGACGAAGGCTGAGAAGCTCTCCATCGTTGATCATTCTAAGATTCAGTACTCGCCTTTCAGGAAAAATTTTTATATTGAAGTGAAGGAAATCGCTAAGATGTCGCCTGATGACGTTGCAGCATACAGAAAACAACTTGAATTAAAGGTACATGGAAAAGATATCCCTAAGCCTATAAAAACATGGAACCAGACTGGATTAACCAGCAAAATTTTAGATACGATTAAGAAGCTTAACTTTGAAAAACCTATGCCCATTCAAGCTCAAGCTCTACCCATTATTATGAGCGGTAGAGATTGCATAGGAATAGCAAAGACTGGTTCAGGTAAGACACTAGCTTTTGTATTACCTATGTTGAGGCATATTAAAGATCAACCTCCAGTAGTACCTGGTGATGGTCCTATTGCGCTTATAATGGCTCCTACAAGGGAGCTTGTCCAACAAATACACAGTGACATTAAGAAATTTTCAAAGGGCTTGGGCTTCAACTGTGTCCCTGTGTATGGTGGATCTGGTGTTGCTCAGCAAATCAGTGAATTAAAACGGGGGGCAGAAATAGTTGTATGTACTCCTGGTAGAATGATAGATATACTCTGCACAAGTGCTGGGAAGATTACCAACCTAAGAAAGGTTACATACTTTGTTATGGATGAGGCTGATAGAATGTTTGATATGGGGTTTGAACCTCAGATCACAAGGATAGTTCAGAATACTCGACCAGATCGTCAAACTGTACTCTTTTCAGCTACATTTCCTCGTCAGGTTGAGATATTAGCCAGAAAGGTTCTGAACAAACCGATTGAAATCCAGGTCGGAGGAAGAAGTGTTGTCAATAAAGATATAGCCCAGTTAGTTGAGGTTAGACAAGAAAGTGACAGGTTCTTAAGGCTTCTAGAGCTGTTAGGAGAATGGTATGAGAAGGGAAAGATCCTTGTGTTTGTTCACTCACAAGAAAAATGTGATTCCTTATTCAAAGACTTACTTAAGCATGGCTATCCTTGCCTTTCACTTCATGGGGCTAAGGACCAGACAGACCGGGAGTCCACCCTTTCAGATTTCAAGAGCAACGTTTGCAACCTTCTGATTGCTACTAGTGTTGCTTCCAGAGGTCTAGATGTGAAGGAGCTTGAACTAGTTGTGAATTTTGATGTTCCAAATCACTATGAAGATTATGTACATCGCGTTGGCAGAACAGGCCGTGCTGGCAGGAAAGGTATGGCTGTCACATTTGTTTCTGAGGATGATGCTAAGTATGCACCAGACCTTGTAAAAGCTCTGGAACTTTCTGAACAAGCTGTACCTGAGGATCTAAGAGCACTTGCTGATACTTTTATGGCAAAGGTGAGAGAGGGCATGGAACAAGCACATGGTACTGGCTATGGTGGAAGTGGTTTCAAGTTCAATGAAGAAGAAGATGAAGCTAGTAAAGCTGCAAAGAAAGCTCAGGCAAGAGAATATGGATTTGAAGAGGATAAATCTGACTCAGACTCTGATGATGATGGCGTTAGAAAAGCTGGAGGTGATTTGTCTCAAGCTGCTATTCTTGCTCAAGCTGCTGCTCTTGCTCAGGCTGCAAAGGCTGGTATTTCTTCAATACCTGCTAATGTTGCAACAGCTCAATTGCTTTCTACTTCAGGTCTCCCTGTTGCAACCATGCCTTCTTTAGCTGGTCTACCTGGTGCATCTCTGCCTGGTGATGCTGCTGCAAGGGCTGCTGCCCTAGCGGCTGCCATGAATTTACAGCACAATTTAGCAAAGATACAAGCTGATGCAATGCCGGAGCACTACGAGGCAGAGCTGGAGATCAATGAATTCCCACAGAATGCCCGGTGGAAGGTCACCCATAAGGAGACCTTGGGTCCAATATCAGAGTGGACTGGCGCTGCAATTACCACAAGGGGCCAGTATTACCCTCCTGGTAAGTTTCCTAGTTCCATGGAACGCAAGCTTTATCTATTTATAGAAGGCCCCACCGAGTCTTCTGTTAAGAAAGCCAAAGCTGAGTTGAAAAGAGTGCTTGAGGATTACACTGCTCAATCTCTTTCTCTTCCTGGTTCTGCACAACCTGGTAAATATTCCGTCCTTTAAATTGTCTCTCTTAAATTAGATATTTTGAATGAGATTTTGTGGGTCTTTTCTCTCTCTCTCTCTCTATTTTTAAATATACGGATTTTGACCCGGCTGCTAATCTCTTGACACTTCATATATTGATGTAAATTAGTTACTGGTGCCTTTCCACCATGTTGTTATTTTGAAGAACTTTTGAACAATTTGTAATGCCTATTATCTACAATTTTAAATTGGAAGCAGAAGATATTGATTTGTTTATTTTCCCTATTTGACTAAGGACCATTGTTTACTGATAAGTGTTGGATAGACTGGATTTTTTGGATCATCTGTAAGTGATTTTGAGTTAGTAGGTGTTTCCAAGTTGATACAGGACTATTAAGTCATAAAAGGTTTTTTGTTTTTTAAATAAAGCTTCTTTTGAACACGACAATATAGTCATGTATGCTTTTCTAAATTTTTTTAATTCTTTCTATGAACCACTCAAGAAGAACAACTAGTTGTGCTGTTTGTGCTTTTTTTGGAGTTTTACTAGGAGAAAGAACATGGCAATTTTTAGCACGGGTGTCTTCTATTGCTCCCATTATTAATGGCTATGAATTTTAGTCTTGAAATATTTTATGAATAAGCTTTGACAAATGTCCAAGCATCGAAAGAAACATATTTTAGGCGGTTAGCTTCTTTTACCCTTTACTATGGAGGAAATTATTACGTGCGGAATCCAAACTGGACAACCGTCCGGTTTACTGACTATACTCAGTAAATGCTACACAAACACTCAGCAAAAAAATTTACTAAGTATTTGTGTAGTATTTACTAAATATATTCAGTAAACCGGACGGTTATCCCAATCCGAGTTCCGCACAGAATAATTTCTCTCGCTATGGACAGAATATTAGTGACTAGGATGCATTAGTTCATGATGATGCAAGTGTAGAAATTTTCTACCAGTTTTAGGTAGAAATTTCTCTTAGACTCTGATTGGAAACTTTGACTGAATTGCTGAGAGGAGCAGTGATTAATGGGTGGTTCTTTGATTTCTAGCTGTTAAATATATCACTTGACCGATTTTAATATTTGTGAAGAAGAAAGAAGGAATAAATGAATATCTTAGCTCCAGAAAATGGTAGTCGATGTTAGGCACAATTGAAGTCTAACCATGCAGTTCTCTTTCTGAGCCAGAAATCTTTTAGTTCAGCTTTATTGATGCAAAATTCATTGCATATTCTAGAGTAATCTATGAGCCAATATCAGACTTTAAAATTTAATTTGTGCACATCATCTGATTACATTAATACTCCAAACTATTATTATTGCTTTCTGTTAGAAGTTTGCTTCATGCTTGTCATTGGAAGGGGTCTCACTCATTCTGTTGCTGGGATTTGTTTTGTAAGGTTTTCTTGGTCAATTTTATATGATTAATAATGTTATCTTTGTATTAGTTGTATTAAAAGAATGTTATCTATCAATGCACTTTAACTGAGGTTTTGTTTGGGATAATTTTTTTATTGCTTTTTAAAATATTTTTTTCTATTCGAAGAATCAATAAAAAAATTATCCCGATAGCTTTTGACCACTATTTTTTTTTCTTGTTTTTAACAAATTTTTTAATTAAAAGTTGCTATAGAAAGCAATATGTAAATTGTCCCAATTAAAATTTTAGTTTGTTTTATTTGATGCCTTTTTGTTTAAACTAACATGTTATTTACAAAGACATCCTATAATTATGATTTTTTTCTTTTTTGGCTTTTTTTTTTTTTTTTTGTCATTAGATAAGAGGTTTTAGGTTCGAAGTTTTTGTATGAAATATTTATATCAATTTGTCTTAGACTTCATTTGGGGTAGTTTTCTTAATGTTTTTTAAAGTTGTTTTTTGATATAAAAATTTTTAGTTTAATTTTTTTTTATTAAAAGCTGATTTTAAAAATAATTTAAAAGTTGTCCCAAATAAAACTTTAATTGACTTAAAAATCTTAAAAAAAAAAATGCATAGTAAAAAATATTAAAAAAAATACATATATGAAAATTTTCAGTAATTGTTGGCTGGGTAATTGATGGTTGCATCTCCTCCACGAGTGAGGACAAGAGCTTTTCTGGAATGTTTGCTTTGCTGAAGAACAAATGCATAGTAAAAAATATATTCTTGTTTTGAAAGTTATTTTTTATTCAATTAGGTGAAAATAAAGTAATTTGTTGAAGTATTTAAATTTCATTATTTAAATTATTTTTAATTATTTAAAATTCATACTATTTAACTAAATTAATAGATTTCTAGTGACCTTTTTTTAAAAAAGGTTTCTTTTGATTTTCTTTATTCTCTTAGCCCCGATTTTAAAACCCCTAATAACTGTGTTATACAGTTTTTTTTTTTATTTTTGGGTATCATTACTAGTAATCCCGTTTTATTTCTAATATAATCAAACTTATGCTCTCATCATAAAAAAGGGTAATTTTTAGTCTCTTGATAAATTATTCTGTGTGGAGACCGCAGAACGTCTTTTGAGATCAATTAAAATGCATCACATCAGCAATATCGAGCCGTTGTACTGAGCGATACCAAGTAGGATTGAGCCATGATACCAAGTAATGTGTGACATGGCGCATTCTGGTTGGTATCTGGACGAATTTTGGGGTCTGCGCATAATAATTTATCATTTGTTGAGAAATTATTTTGTGTGGATATCAGACACAATGTCATTCGGAGACAAATCAGATTGCACCACGTCAGCAGTACCAAGCCGCGATACCGAGCGGTACCGAGCCACTGTACCAAGGGGTGAAGTGGCGCATTTTGATTGGTCTCCGGACAGTATTCGACGTCCGCACAGAATAATTATGAAATTATTCTGGGGAGAAAAAACCGTCCCAAATGAATCCTTATTATATCATTTTTATCTTAAGGTTGTATCTAACTTCTGCGATGATATATTCTGTTAACTTATTAATTAGATAAGATTTTCTAACGCATTGATGAATCCATCTTTTATAAGCTATATTAACTTTTAGCATATGAATGAGAAAATTGTTCCTACATGACACAAAAACTAGCATGATATATTTAGAAAGAAAATTGTTTAGAAGTTGTAACATCATTTCAAAAGAAAATAATTCATTATTTCTAACATGATAGTAATGACTCAAGTCCATTACACTTGTCCATGTGAAATGAATACCATGAGATAAACGAATTTGTATCGTTGTCCTATCGTGTCTATTCGAAAGTGAGTAAAATATGAAATTATAAAAGACGAGAAAGTAGTACATAACTTGTAACGCGCATTATATTTTTAGGATTTTGTGAGCCAACGAACATATTATGTTAGCTTGATGACAATAACCACATAACTTTCAGGGTGGTTGTGATTTTCATCCATTGTGTTTCGAATATTTGTCACTCTTGATCGACCTAGTCGTCTTCTAACCGATGAAGGATGCGATTTAATTATTCCATTTTCTTGATTGAACTTGGGCAAGAAATCATTGAGTGGAAGACCACTTGTCAAACTATTTAGTAACTCTGAAATACTTAGCCACAAAAGAGGTGTGGCAAGAAATCACAATCCAAAGATAGTTTTAATGAACAGTCTTAGGAAAAATCTCCCTGCATCGGCAGACTAAGCCAAGGTGCTTATCGAACTTTAGGTAAAAGTCTTGTTGAGAGAGAGTGGTTTCATTGGAGTCCAAAACAGTAAGCAAGAACTACATCCAAGATTTATTGAATTCAAACTCAATAGCAATAAATACAATCCAAAATAAATCATTATTTGCAATGACTCTTGATACGTTATCATGAAATTATCTTGATTGGGCACAAATCTCGATGCAAAACCCAACTCAGAAACTTCAAAAATTAAATTCGGAAGCACCCAAACTCCGATTTCAGCGAGCTTACAGTCAAACTGAGCGTCTCGGAAATACGAACCCAACGACACCAAGATCAACCCAATCCGAGCCCAAATGAGTCCGAATCAAGGGCTCAAAGCGCTGTTGGAATGTTCAAACCGCAATTTGAGTTACCAAACGGTCTCCGATTTTGACGAGCTTCTACTCGAATCGAACGGCTCGACGAGACGAATCCAACGAGCTCAAGATCGCCGAATTCCAACATCATTAAGGCCTTCAAATGCCCAAAGAACGGTGCATGATCAAAGGATTCGATATCGGCCGTCCATTCAAAACACTCCCAATTCGCCCCTGATCTCACGCCTATTTACGGGCTATGCCACTCCAGAAAAACTATAAATATAGCCCTCATTCTACACCAAGGGGACTCAAGTGAAGAGAGAGAAGAATGAGAGAAGGAGGAGAAGGAAGAAGCTCCTCCTCGACCACCGCCGATGCTCTTCTTGCCGCCCGAACACGCCGAGATTCTGCCAAATATTTGGGAGAACGCCAGAATTCTTCCCAACTTCCACGTGATGCTTAAATTCTTCTCAATTTGCAACAAAGTTCTCTTCTGACACTGAGACTCTGCCTAAGTAAAGCCGGAGTTCTCCTTTGCCACCAATAGACGTCGGACTTCTACCCGACGTCGAACCTTCACTCTTCGCCAAGTTTCTACCCGAAGCCGGATTTCTACCGGTGATCGGACTTCGTTGTACGTCTACGCGAAGATTGATTTCTTTCCATGGTTGGACTTCTGCCTGACGCTGTCCTTCTGATCTTCGTCATCAGACTACAGTCCTTCTGACTTACGTCGCCGACTACAGTCTTTCTGACATCCGTCGCCAGCCGACTACGGTTCTCCTGACTCACGTCACCCGCCGACTACAGACTTTCTTACCTCTGTCGCCCGCCGACTACGGTCCTCCTGACTTACGTCGTCCGCCGACTACGGTCCTCCCTACCAAGAGAATATGTCAATAGTAGCTCTTTGTATTTACATCATGTATTGTACTCTATAAGATGTAAATCAAGCTAAGGCCTTCTCCCAAGGAAGGGCCTCATTTGTAATCGACTGCAAATACTAGTGGATTCGTTCAAACTGGGCTAGGCCCTGTGGTTTTTCCCCCTTTTCAGGGGTTTTCCACGTAAAAATCTTGGTGTCTCATAAATGTTAGACCCTCTCTCCCCCTTTTCGGCCCGAATTCCAATCCGACTTACGTCCACGCTAGCCAACTCTTGGGCTAGAATTCACTAATCCTAGATTTGCTTTGCAAACCTCACTTCCTTAAACCAAAGAAGTTCTTTACATCATAAGTATTGTCATATACGGGCGAGTACAACCCAATCTAATTACAATTAAAACTTCACTAAGCTAAATGTCTTAAATCAAGAAAATGAAAAATACAATTTGATGTAAATAATATAGACTCAAATTATCTTGCAATAAAATGTCCACAATATTTAAGGTGATCTTACAAATTAATTTTAATCACCTCACTACTTGCAAATGAAAATTTAAATTTGCTCACTTTAAGATAGATTTATATTTTGTTTAAAATAAGAATAATATTTTAAATAAAAATATATTCTTGTTGATTTAAACTTTAACTATTTAAAACAAATAAAATGAATTAGATTATAAATATAAATATATGCCACCTTAAAGAAAATAAAAAATACTTGCTTTGCTAAACTTTATATATTTAAAAGATATAATACATAAAACTTTAATATAACATTAACCACTAGTATTTCACCAACTAATAAATATCTTTTAAATGAGACTGTAGGTAAGATAAAGCCAAGCCATATTGTATTACACAACAAAGCCAGCAGATCCCAGTAATGTCAACTCCACTTTTTACTCCCATTGAACCCCATGATCAATGTTTCTCATTTAATATAGAATAGTTTCAATATCTTAAAACCTTTTTTTTTTTTTTTTCAAAACCTTTTTTTTTTTTTTTTTCAACAAATACACAACAATATCCAATCCAATTCAATAATCTACAATGTTGGTACCATCTCTCTTAATAAATATTTTTTTTTGCATATGGTGAGAATTTTTGAATTCATCAATACTCCTCACAATGACAACTAATAGTCAAAGATAGGTGATATCATGAAAAAGGAAATTGAAAATCAAATCGATATACACTAATGCTTCGTTTGGGACGGCTTTTTTACTGCTTTTTAAAATGGAGTTTTAGTACAAAATTTTTTATTTTTGTACTAAAAGTTCGTTTTAAAAAGCAATAAAAAAGCCGTCCCAAACGAAGCCTAAGTTCACACTCAAACCAACAACAATATAGAAGAAGATAATAGTTCAACTTATTATAATAGTTATTTTTCTTGAAATTTATTAGATAATTTTTGTTATAAGATATTTATGATTTATTTTATAAATTATTATTCCTACAACAAATTAACAAATTGTAAATATTTTTCAAAATTTTGATTATTTCTAAAAACTCACTCATTTTATGTTTTAAAAATTCACATTTTTTAGTTGAATTCCAAACACATTGTAAGCTAACTTTGACCTTGATGTTGGATGGCACCGGACACTACTCGCCCGTCAGGCACTGCTTGCCATTAGCCATCAATCACCACTATTTTTGACTTTACATTACACACTTGTTGAGTTTTATACTAAATTCACTTTAGATAGAACAAAAAAAATACATACATTATTTTACACAAATCCAAACAACTCTAAATATTTCAAATCCATTACATGTTTTGACATTTGTATTCTATTTTATCCTTCATTCGCTTTTAGCAAACCAAACAATACCTTAAAGATAATCTAAAAGAGAAAATTTTAATTGACCTAAAAAAAGTAAATTAGTATATTGGGCATTCTTATTAATATTTCATGATTTAATTTTATTAAAAATAATATAGAATTTATAAATGAAAGAAAAATAATAATTCCACTATATTCTAGAACAATTTTAATATCCTTTTAATAAAAAATAGAAGAACTTAATAAACAATTCGATTGGTCTAAAGGTAAAAAGGTGGCGAGCACAATAACGAGTCTCTCTTTCGGGGCGAATTATTGCGTCCAGTCATCGAATGTCCGGATATCCCATCCGATGACGCCACGTCACCCAAATACACTGAGATATAATGCATTTTAGTGACGTGATGACCGGATTGGTGTCCTGAACCCAATAATTTGCCCTCTTTCAGGCCCCCGAGTCTTCTAAACTGAGAGAGAAAAAACTAGAGAAACACGACTATCGCCTAGAAGCTTCCACAGCCTCCCGACCCTTCTTCCTTCTTCTCGACATCCCTCGAGCCCCTCCCTCGCCCTTCTTCTTTCTCTTCCCTCCCCGCTTATAAATCCCCCTTGCATCCCATTCAGCTCACTACCAATCAATAGACGACAAAAGAAGCTCAAATAAGAAACAACAATCCGCAAATTATCCATGGAGTTCTTCGACGATCCATTCTTGACGGCGACGATCTATCAACTGATGGACATTCCTGAGCAGGAGACGGAGAAGACCCACAACCCACAGACAAGGGCATACGTCCGAGACCGGAAGGCAATGGCTGCTACGCCGGCGGATGTGAAGGATCTACCAGGTGCGTACGTGTTCGTTATCGACATGCCGGGGATCAAGAACGGGGATATCAAAGTGCAGGTGGAAGAGGGGAATCTGCTCGTTGTGAGCGGTGAGAGGAAGCGAAGAGAGGAGAAGGAGGGGAAGTACTTGAGGATTGAGCGCCGGATGGGGAAATTTATGAGGAAGTTCCCGTTGCCGGAGAATGCGAACTTGGATGCGATCTCGGCGGTTTGCCAGGATGGGGTGCTTACGGTGACTGTGGAGAAGACGCCGCCGCCGGAGCCAAAGAAACCTAAGACCATCGAGGTCAAAGTTGCTTGAGATTGGGGGAAGGAGAGGTTTGTGCTTGTGGAGTTTAGCTTGTATTCGATGAATGAAGCTGGAAATTTGGGGTTTACGAACCCAAAATTGAATTTTTTTTTTTTTTTTTTTTTTTTTTTTTTTTTTTTTTTTTTTTTCCTGTGTGAAATATGAGGCAAATGATGGATGCATGGATAATAAAGAAGCCGCCGAGTGGGTTTTTAGTAACTTTTTTGTTAATTGAGTTAAAGAGTTTATTAGCTTTTTTATGGTCGAGCTTTTTAGATAATATACTAAATTTGAATTAATCTTTATTCAGCATTTAAAGAAGATTAATATATAATTTATTTAAAATATATTAAAATTAAAAAATTTTAACATATATTTTTGAATCTAAGCTTGAAGCAAATGTACAATAGGGCTATTATTGCTTTAAATGATAGTGAAATCGATGGCGTATTATTATTAGAATTCAAATTAAATGGTTAAAGTAGATGAATTTGTCGAGCTTGGTGTTTGATAGGAACATATCCTTCAAATTTGAGATAAAATTTTATAAGATGATGATGAGACTTAAATGCTCTTTGGCATAAAATATTGACAATTCAGTGTTGCGAAGACGGGAATGTTTAGACGGATAAATTACCTTATAATTAGAGACATAATGCGAGTCTATAAGAGAAAAGATTGGATTAGCTTTAGATATAGATAGGTTTGATTGTCACATTAGATGATTTGAATTTATGTAGAGAGATAAATCTAAAAATATTTTATTAGAAAGTATTAAAAATGTCTTTTTTCTATTAGAGTGGACTAGTAATAGGACAATGAAAAAAATGATTCAAATAGCCAACCTCACGTAATTTGGAATAAATGTTTAAGTTTTTTTTTTTTTTTTCTTTCTTTTTTGCACCATCCACTTCTACATTAGAGAAGCCAATTTTGAAGTATTTTTACTCGACCTTAATTGATGACCAAGTGGGTGTTCGAAGAACTCTACATTGCCTTGCATCTAAAATTTATCGGACAAGAGATTAAGGGGCTGTTTGGTATGCAAAATTAGGAGGATAAAGCAATATAATTACCAGCATTTTTTTTTTTTTTAATTACCAGCATTTGTTAAATTAGATTGTTTGGTTAATTTTGAGCGGAATAGAAGTAAATCCTCTAAAGTATTAGCCCTGTATTATAATAGGCCCTTCGTGCGACATCGAAACCCGCTCAAATTGAGCGTGTTAGAAATTCTCTTGCGTGGACTTCCTCTCGCTAATCAATTTGTTAAAACATGTCTTCTTTGTCAAAGCCACAAAGTATCAACTCTAGCTTTTGTTGGCTTATCGCAACAACTTTTGATTCTAAGCCCAGTTTACCGAAATGGATTTTGTTAGAAGCCATCTCAGGTTATAAATGGCAGGGCAGTTCATATTTTCAAGTAAGCTAATTTCATCATATTACCACCACAATTCATTGCATTCAACATCATTCTCATTGGCTTAACTGAAGACAAAGTACCATATGAAACAGTGGCAACAAAGGTGAGGGGCGATTGTATTGATAGCAGATAAAAGAAAACATACAAGATACAATGAATCTTCAATTCGAGGAAGATCTGGTTCTCCCAAATCTCTAGACATCGCTAGAGCCCAAAATAACGAAGAACAAACTCATTTCTGAAAAATACCTGATACCCTAACCCTAGGAAAACATTCTGCTTAAAACATACAATCTTAAAGGAAATCTCTAAACAACCCCTCTGAATTTTCCCATCTAAATCACCTTAATTTATCCTAAACGAGGCTGCTGGGCCCCACGGATCAGAGATGGAACCTACGGAAGCAGATCGGACCAGTTGTACTAGTCCCTCCTGTACCGGTCTAACATACTCCTAATTAATGGTGTCTCAATTTCAGCTAATAAGTTTCTTGTCTTTCTAGATAGTCTATGACATGCCATCCCTACTCATCCACACATATTAACTAGGAAGCATAGCAATTCTAGCAATTGACAATACTTCTTCTTGACCAACTAACAAATAATCTTATGCATGCAGATGATACAAAAGGAGAGAGCCACAAAGCTATTCAGTTATTTGTCCACGATAAATATCAACAAAAGCAGTCTCAGTTCACCTAAGGAGTTCACTTTACCTTAATCAGCGAGAAAAAATTCAGAAAGAAGAAATTTGTTCTTCTGGCTTCCATCAAAATCTGAAGAGTGTCTCTGACCAACAGCTTTTTTTTTTTTTTTTTTTTTTTTTTTTTTGGGAAAATTTGGACTTGGCCCGTATATTAAAAGATGAAAGATGAAGAAACAAACAATTACAAGTAATGAATAACCCTAAAAGAAAATTGGAAACCGGCGGAGCTCCAAACAGAGGATCATGCCCACTAGAGCATCAAAAAACCTGCTCAAAGAACAGCAAAAAACAGGCAACAGAAATAAACCAAAATACAGCAAAAAAGCTCCCTAAGCCATTGAGATCTTATATTTATAGCCACAGCACGACCATAAAGCTTCACCAGAATCTCCAGGCTCAGGCTTATTTAGTTTGGCAGTGAAAGATTTTTAAATTAAATTGTTTTATTCCAGCTTTCATCTCCATGGACGTTGGGATTATACAACAATAATTAGATAAAAACAAATTTGAATAAAATTTTCTAATTGATATAATATTTACCAAAATTTCATGCCCATATAAGGGCAATAAAAATGATTAAATAAAATGTGATGATTATACAAATCAGCTTCTTAAGGTTATGTTGCAAGATATGGACTCTACATAGCTAGCATAATCAGGCACCAACATGATCCTTACTTGAGTTCTTTTGTTTTTTCTTTTTCCTCTTACCATCGATGAGCTTACCTGAATGCTTTGATAGCTCCGAACGGATCTCCATGAGTTTTGCCTTTGCATTTCGGAATGGAGCATCTGATCTCATCGACATCAATTCCTACATAAGACAAATAAACAGTTATGGAAAGCATGGAAATACTAATCTCACAAGTAATTTGTATTTATACTGGAGTTGAATCAAGTACCTTAAGATGATCCATTGCGGCAAGATTGAACCCAATTGTATCCTTAAATTCCTGAAGAAACAGATATAGTTTAGTTTCATCATAAAAGTATGCCTGAGTTGTCATTTATAATACAAAAGAATATGAGACAATCATCATCATCAGATTCATCCAAAGTATTTGGCATAAACATATTAAATATACAGTCTCCAGTCATAAAAATATATATATATTATTTCTGTACTTTTGATAGTTTCATCAATTTTGAGATTTTGTCTCAATTTAGTTTTACGTTACTTTTTATTTTAAAATATTAAGCATGAATAAAAGAAATTATCTGATTGAGTTCAAATCATAATAAATATAAAATTTAATGAGGCCTTAGTGATAGCGTTCTAGTAGAACTGTGGCTCCGACTTAAGAGTTTTGACCATGGTTTAAAATTGCGCAATATGAGGCTCACCTTGAGGCGCTTTTGCGCAATTCCAGTAAAAAACGTCTCGATGCTTACGCCTCGAGTTTTTTTTATAAGGCTTGCGCCTCAACTTGGTTGAGGCCCGCCTTGAGGCCCACCTCGCCTCACGCTATATATATTAAAACTTACATAAATCTTGAAGTAAATGTCCGACATTGGACTCTATAGGAGAGGAGGAAGGGGAGAGAGCAGTTCACCATAATGATGATTCAAATGAAGATTGAGGCTTACTCCTCACCTCACGAATGAAAAATGCCTCAATACCCGAATATGCAATTTTAAACATTGGTTTTGACAGTTTAATATAAAATATAGGGAGATTTACATACATACCACCCTATAATACTCTATTTACATATTTAATACCTAAAACTTTAATATTACATACATACCACCCTTAGTTCATTTTCAAATCAAACATGAGTGATAAAAATGAAATATATGAGTGGTAGGAAGAAAATATGAGTGACATATTTGATATTAAAATAATATAGAGTGGTATGTATGTAATATTAAAGTTTTGGGTGTTAGATATGTAAATAGGATGATATAAAATGGTTTGTATGTAAATTTCCCTAAAATATAAGTTTACAAAAGAGTTTCACTCAAACATTCACTGATATCATCAGTTTAGGTTGAAAGTCACAGAACCAAGCGAGACTGAAGATATCAAGTTTCAAAGCTTAAAACTATGCTCCACTTATTTCTGCTGGTTGCTACTTGAGGTATCAAGTCTTTTACACAATTTTCTTTCCATAATTTCTAATCGCATGACATATGGTATAAACATTTTGCTTTCTAATTTTTTAATTAATTATGTTTAATCAGCTTATTAATGTATCTTTGGTTTTATGTAGCACATGCCCAAATCATCTTTTTTTTATAACTTTGTTGCAAGCTAAAAAATTCACAACGATAGAGAGTTTTGCATTCAAGCTTTGCACGAAGATCCAGTACACAAACAGATATAAGACAGCTCAGATAATATCAGAGATTTTTACGTTGAAACTCAAAAAGGGGAAAAACCACGAAGCCTTGCCAAACTGAGATGATTCCACAATGTTAGTGTTAGTTATAAAGATTGGCTCATCGATAACAAGATTCTAAATTTATGAGACTTGGCAAAAAGTGTTGTAGAGTTTGTCTAGAGTTTGGACGCTTGAAGTCGAGTGACCACAAGTCTGACAACAACGTGCGGAAAAACCAGAGACCTGAAATAGATCCATTTATTAAACGAGACAACTCGAACTTCAATTTTTGTTTCGGGTCTTCCATTGACACCCCTACTGACGATGATGATTGGCCAACAAAAGGTTTATAAATGACGACAGTTAGAGGCAAAGGTTCGATGACAACAATTGGACAAAAGAGCCCCACAAGGCTATTTCATTGACAATAAGTCAAAAAAACCGACAACGATTGTCCACCAGGCCCAAAGATGGCAATCAGTCAGAAAAAGGTCTTACTGCGATTGGCCGACAAAAGTTCACTAGTGGTGCTGCATAGGTAAAGCTCCAAGATTCTTCACGCCACCAAGATCTCTTGAAACTCTACCCAAGGTCCCTTTTCAAGTAAAGAGTGGGTGACTTTTTATAGATTTCTGGGAGTAGCATGACCCATAAATAAAGAAAATTTTAAGAGCACTCTATTAGATGGCCTATATTGATTCCTTTAATCATATATCAATTTTTCAACATTTAACTGCCTTAATGATATCGAAATTAGGTGATCATGGGCTCATTAGATTCAACTCATCGAGCCGCTCATTTCGACTATAAGCATACCTAATTTGGAGATCATTTAGTCAACCAATTAATATTCTAAAGTTCCTAATTATAATTCAAGCCCTAAATTTCGGTTTAACTTTTGGTATCATTGGGTGCATCTTGTCGAGACATTCAATTTGATTATAAGTTTGTTGAAATAAGAGTTCTGATGGTTTTGAATTGAATTTGGGAAGTTTTCAATTCAAATATGCAACGAAATTCACACCCAATCAAGACAATTTTCAATACATACTAATCTTCATGTGCTACCGTCATGTCTCTTCAATATATCCATATCATTCACATTCAAAATCTCTCAATGTGTAAAAAGAGAAGTATACACATCAAGGGAGGAAAGTGCCTGAGCTTGAAACTTAGTTAAAAGCAGCATGCAAGTCTTACATGGATAAATGATTGGGACATCGATCGTGGAAGATTTATCAGAGGCGTGGCCGTCGATTTACGACCACGATTGAGTCATTGTATTTCAGATTTGTTTTATGCATTTTCTTATTTATGATGTCATGTTGTATTTGCTTTATTAGTTTCCCGTTGTACCCTTTTATTAAGGGAGGTCGTATGTAAGCCCTAGGCGCATTGTCGTCTTTTTATGTTGCGAGTCATTGTAAGAGGTTATTTATAACTCCATTGTTCTTCTTTTCAAGTTAATGAATGATTGATTAAAATATTTCTTCCCCTTGCATGAGTCTTGCGAGAGCTTGAGAGATTGGAGTGAGATCCCTAGGAGAGGGAGAATTGTACAACACCCACCAACCTAGACGAGTCGGGTTCGTGGTTCTACCTTCTCTACCTTTTCTCCCCCTCTTTCCTCCCTCAACTAGCTGCCAGCCTAGGGTTCCTCCCCATCTTCTTAAGCCGCCGACCATCATACAAATTCCCCCTCTCCATTGGTTAAGCACAACTCCTTTTTTCCCCCTTCTCCCCACATTCCCACCCACGGTTTCCACCCAAACCGCTGGCCCTAGCCCCCTTAGCCGCCGGCCAGGCCCACTCATCTCTCCCCTCTTCCTTGAGTTTCCTAATTTGGTTGGAGTTAATTTAGGATCAATTTAAAATTCAAATTCTTCCCTAATTTAACTAATCTATTTTAGGAAAGTTCCTAAATTAAATCTATTTGAATTTTAAATTCAAATTGGATTTAATTAGAAACTTTACAAATTCCTAAACCCAAATTAAGAAGCTTTAATTCCTTCCATTATCAAGCCCAATCACCCCTCATAGCCGTCAGCCCCATTAGGAGGTTTGGGATTTATTTCCTAAAGCCCCACCCCCTCTCTCTACCCACCCCCTCTCTCTCTCTCCAATCCCCTATCTCCACATTAACACACATTTCCTCTCTTGGAATTAAATTTGAATTTAATTCCTTAAAACCCTTCCAATTAGAAATATGAAATTTATTTCAGATTTTAATTTGTTCTCCTTCACCCACCCCCTCTCTCTCTCTCTCCAATCCCCTATCTCCACATTAACACACATTTCCTCTCTTGGAATTAAATTTGAATTTAATTCCTTAAAACCCTTCCAATTAAAAATATGAAATTTATTTCAGATTTTAATTTGTTCTCTCCTTCACCTACTTCTCCTCTCCCACCCTCATCCCTTGGCCGACCACACCTCTTCATCCCCACTTCAAGTTAAAGAGCAACTCCTTTCTCTTTAACAAAGTTCAAGGTTGCTAGTAATCTCTGGAAGAGACCGCGCCTAGCATTCATGAATGGTCGATCCCGATCTTAACTACGGCCTCTCCTACGACAAGCAAGGATCTGTTTGAATCTTGCACTTGACCTTCTTCGACGTCAACCCGCGCATCGACCACACCATAGAAGAATACGTAGATCACATCTTGGATACCTTGGTTTAAGCTATTTAAGAGCAACTTGGAACCGTCAAGTGGAGGATTACAACCAATCCTTGACGAAGGTTTTCTAATCTCTCTTTTCTTGTACTTCTTCAATTCTAACCCCTTGTGATTTGATTTCAGTCATGAAGATCGTGTTTGCCTAATTCTGCCAAGCTTAGTAAATGTAGGAAATTGAGTGCACTTCATTTGCTTCTTATCTCATTGTTAGGCTAGGGATTTTTGTTAAAAACGACTATAATTGTATGTTGTTGATTTCTTATGCTATTTTGATGATTCAAAGCTTTCATCGTGCAACTTAGTCTAAACGGGAGTGACCACTCTTGTGTTTTATATTATCGTTTTTATTTGCTAATAGTTCTAGTTGTTATTACTGGAATCAATAAATCGTGCAAGCTCTTTTAATAATCATTTCAAGCATTGTAGTCCTACATCAATAATGGTATCTAAATGATGAACATGTGGCTAGAAAATGAGGCTCATTGCAAAATTTTTCTTGCTTGTATAACCTATGCAACATTAAGTATGATAATAAAAGCTTTCTTAAGAAAAAAAGAGTCCATCGCAAGGGTTTTGTAGGTGGAAAAAGAATAAATTTCAATGTTGAGTTAATCATATGAATTTCTAGAATCATGTTATTGTCTCAAAAAATTCCTCAAAAGCAAGTAGTCCATTCAAAGGTGGCGCAAAAAGAACACTATCAAATATTGACTTAATTATATGAATTTCTCCTAATTATGTCATTGTCTCATATGAATTCCTCAAATCATGCTATTGGTTCATCCAAGCAATTCTGCAAAAGCAGGGAAGGAATTGTGCAACATTCAAAAATAATTTAAAGCACGAAAATAACTTTGAGCCTGATAATGGCCACTAAAGACTAAATTTAGCCAATTTGTTCGTGAGCTGAAGACTCAAGATTAAGCATAGGACATTCAATATGAAAATGTCAGGTTTAGTATGAGCCATCCATTAAAAGGTGGTACAAAAATAATACTTTTAAATTTAGCGTTATCATAAGAGTTCCTCTGTTCCTGAATCATGCAATCATCACATTTAAGCAAAAATAAATTTGCATTGCAAATGCATCTCATTCTTTTTAAATCTATCAACAACTTGCAGAAGTAACTAGTATGGTTTAATGTAGTTGGATAACGCATATGGTCTGTACCTTAACTCTTGCATGAAGAATATCCTTAAGTACAGTCAGTATGGGCCTGGCGGCAGGGGTAGTAATTAACTGATTATGATGTGTTTGGAGAAGTACTGTTGTAATTCTACAAACAAGCGCAACCTGAGGAGGGTTAACATAGTTAGTTAGTTAAAAGATATTACAAAAACTTGACAGATTAAAAAATAAATAAAAACTGCTGGAGAACTGCATGTTTATAATCTTTCGAAGTGTCGAGCAGGTAAATAATTTGAATGAGATTAATTTGTTATTTTCTAGTTATTGTTTCCCTATGACAAATGTCAACAAGGACGGAATGTGGTCTCTATTTAATTGATTCTAGGTTAGTTTTGTGGGCTGGCATAAGCTTGGGCTAGTTCAATTGTTGGATGCAGTTCACAATGGCCTTTATAGATAAAAAAATAATAATAATTCACCATACCTTCTTGGGTCCTAATTTCAATCTTTAGAGCCTCATTATGATGCTACCATCTATTCCTCAATCTAAAGCAAAGGTTAAGAAATGCTGTGTAACCTTCAGCAGAGCTGAAACTACAAGGATTTATAGAGTTATTTGTGATGCTGATATTACACCATGACAGCCAATGCTCAACTTTTCTCGCAACCATAGTGCAATATATTTAACATCATATTCAGATGTAACACTAAAGCTGAGTATAATGATTCTAACCATAATTTTGTTCGAGAAAAGTTTTTAAATGGAACCTATCTGCCAGCCATGTCAAAAGGCAGCTTGCCAATTTTTTAACAGAGCTGTATTATTGATGTATGACTAAATGATGCAGCAATGATTATTAAGAGTTTGCACGCCTCTTTGTGGAAAATAATATTAAGAGTTAAATTTAAGCAAATGAAACGATGAAATAAAACAAAAGTAGGACTAAGTAGAGCGGCGCGATCGTAGCTGTAGATCGATGGCCACGCCTCTGATAGACTTTCCAAGGCCAGATGTCCTCATCAATTACCCAATACTAGGTTTTCGAGAATGAGAAGCAATCTTCAGATCAAGGTTTAAAATTGCATATTTGGCTAATAGAGAACACATTTATGTTGCAATACCCAATAAATACATGATACCAACGACAAATGTCCACAAACTCCAAAAACATGCCCAGTCTCCAAAAGCATGCCTAGTAGGGATTTTAGACCGCATGAAACTTGCTTACAGTTGATTTCACCATGGGCAAGCTGCTCGTGTCAATAAGCCCTGGTGCATGTTGGGTGTAATGGGAAACGGTGTTAAGGCAGTTTGTGAAGGCATAAAACATTAAAACAATAAGATAAGGTCAAGAATGATGGCTATGATACCCTAATAGAGTCAGAGAGAAGGCCATCATCAAGACTATATAACTTTGAAGCATGAAATCTAAAAGTTAAATCTAAAATGAGACTTATACGGCATGAGCATAACAACTTGCAACACAAGCCATGCGAAACCTTCAAAGAAAGGAAATTTTGGGTGAAAAATTTTTTCAAGAAATCTTTATACATAATCAGAACATGATCAAAGGAATTTACCTTATCAGGGTTTTGAACCCAATCCTTCAAGTAAGACATAAGCTTCAAGGCATCAGAGTAAGGAAGAGACTGCCAAAAAAAAAAGAATGTGGTAAATAACGATACAAACAAATAATGAACTAAAGATGCATGATCTAACTGTGAATGGCGAATAACATGACCAATTTCTTCACCCATCCTCCATCCCCCAAATAAAGAATGCAGCAAATAAAAGTACCGCTGAATTGATTATTACAATCTGATTATGGTTGGTTGATAAAACAAGCAATTTCTACTCCCTCCCTACACCTTTCCCCCCTCTCCTTCCCTCAAAAATAAAGGGCAAATCCCTGTCACTCCAAAAAATATATACAATGCATAACTATAGGAAACGCAGCATGGAAATGGGCTTTGTTGCTGAGATTCAAATATTGTGTGAATTTGGATGTTGAAGGAGAAAGAGGAGAGAAAGATAGGCAGGATGATGGGTGGCAGCAAAGAGAGGACTTGATTTGTTTGGTGAAGAGCGAGAGAGAGAGAGGGTGTGGACGGAAGGTGATAAAAAAGATTGGTATTAAGGGGTTATTAGGTTAGTGAGAAAATAAAGTGAAAGATTCATATAAAGAAAAAAATGGGTTTCTTGGGTTGGATCAAGATAATTATGAGAGAATGATACGGATTGGCGCACACACACAAACAGAGAGAGTGAGAGAGGAGTTTATTATCGATCTTGTTAGGAGAAAAAGAGTTCATTGTACCCATTGTACCAATAGAGGATAGAAAATGGTCTTTTTTTGCAGTTAGAGAGGAGTTCAAATGAGAGGTTGGGGGTCAAAATTGTGTTTTTAAGCACATACTAATAGAAGACAACTGAAAGTTGGAAAAGAGGGAAAAGTTAGTGAATGAGAGTGAAACCTAGTTTTGGTAGAATATGAGAGAATATTAGAGAGGGATAAGCTATTTAGAATATAGAAGAGTAAAGCAGGATAGAAATCGAAATGCCTCAATCCATCTGAGCTCCCAAAAAGATTGTTAACAACATTAGTGCTGTGCTGAATGTCTTTCTTTTGCACACAACCCTGATGCAACGTGACAAAATAGTAATGAGATGTGCAAGAAGAACCCGGCCCAAAAGCAAAACAGGGATAGGGAAATGTATAGAAAATCTCATCTGTGAAGAGCATAAGGATACGGATGGGAGAACTACAGGTTCTAAGGATGGAAGTTGTTTGAAAGATAAAAGAACTAAGTTTTGGATCTAGAACAATATTGGAACATAACTGCATCTTTAGTTACCAGGAATACAACATCCAAATGCTTAGTGACCGTGCTAGAACAGTCATTTTTTCAGTAGAAATAGCATACATTGGCCTTAACAAAATATTTACATAGAACAGGAAGCATGAAGCCATGCGAGTATGTCACTCCATAATTTTAATATTATGACGCAATAGCTTGAACTACCTAATAAGCATAATAAGAAGCGTGATTCTATCAATTTATCGATTGATGTAACTTTGAATCAAGAAAAGTTATCACAAACCAGTAGGGTCTGCTCCAGGTCATTGGTCTGAACATTGGAAATTGCTTGTAAAACATAGTCAGAAGGTGAGAGCCCACGCATCATAACATTAGGTTGGAATTGACCAGATTTTCCATTTTGTTGATCCACCTAACCATGTAGAAAAAGAATACTTTAGTTCACATAACAAGAAAGGTCATGCAGAGTTCACAAAACTTATCTTACTATAATCATCATCACAGCTATAATTAGCAGTATTTTGATAATATTATGGGTGCATCTTTAATCCTTCATAGTGCAACAACACTAAGAAAATCTCGAAGGAAATCAACAAAATAAACATATAAATTTGGGGTATTGTTGCACCTCTTACACGTTCAAAACACAGAAGTATATTTTCCTTCATCCCTTTAATATACTTTTTTCTCAAAATATTTTTTTTTAATTTTGTTACACATCTTAGTGTTCTCATTTTTTGCCTTCAACTTGATTATTAATGACTTCTTTATCTCATGACACATAAATTCATACAATATAATATGCCTAAATATAATTTTATAAAATGAACTTTAATCCCAATGATATTCTCTTGTTACATAATACTCCTGAAGCACTACCTATTTTGATAGCTAAACCTCAACTCTAAAAATTATGTTCTCATCCATTTCAATAATAAGATTAAAATTAAGTCCAGCTAGCTTATGAGCTCACTCAAGTTCAATTCGATATAGGGCTCATGAGCTAAACTTGAGGAGCCCAGCAAGCGAAATTTAAGTTTATTGTGCTTCCCATGCCAACTTCTTTAAATTATTTATATAAAATATACTTAAAAATACAAGAATGCAAAGGTTTAAATACAAACGTTATATAGAAAAAATCTTAGTTTCTTTCTCTCTCCTAATTTCTCATTTTCAACTCATTCTTCATTCTCTCATGGCTCCATAGTAACGACTCATATTCACCTTCACCTTCACCTTTACATTCACCATCTCACTTTCATGAGAAGTTATACCAACTACTAATTCAAAAGAAACTATTAATTAAGTTCAAACTTGACAAACTAAATCAAACTAAAGCATTAGTTGAGAGCAACTCAAGCTTGACTGAAAACATTTACAACCCTAATTCACATTCTTCTATAATACAGATCCAAAATAATGAACAATATCACACATATATACTATTTTATCTTGGTTCATAGCTACTAATATCACAACAACTAAAATTGCAAATTAAAGAGTTAAGTCATTGTCTACTAATCCTAACACTTTACATTCTAGATATTTTCTATAATGTTATAACATTTGAACTATTTCAGTGGATTATCAATAATTAGAACCATGTAATATGTGATAAGCGTGCATCATGATAACTCAATTTGAATATGTATCACAAGTCTCTACATAACTAATGCAAGAATATATGAACTTGATGTTAAACCTCAACATACTCCTACAATGATTAAAAATCTTCGGTCAATCCACAACTACTTATATAATACTAGTCAATGTTTCGTAAGGCACAACCTTAATACTATCAATGAATTTTTGACATACATTATTTCCCTTAATATGTGCCAAATCAATTCATATGGTACTCAATCATATACCTTCTAAAGATCAATCAAAAACATATGAAAGTATATAATTTTTTGTTTATATTTTTACATTAATTGCCTGCTCAAAAATCACCTTTATAATAGATATTAGAAGCATCAAATAAAATCAATTCTCTAAAAATGACATAATTATTTCAAGCTCACGCTCTAAGAATAACTACCATAACTTCATCACATATAAGATCATAAGTTAGATTCCATCATAATTACCATGGTTCTAAATAAATGCTATATTCTTAAAGTAGTTAATACTCTTACATTATAGGAGAGGACAAAAAAAAATGAAGTGTGGTTATTAATTATACAATGAGAAATGGATCAAATTGATCCCTCAACTCTTTGTGAGGGATCAAAATAGTCTCCAACTCTTTTGATGGACCAATTTAGTCCCTCAACCCTTTAAAATGGATCTTTTTTGTCCTAACATTTAATATTGGAGTTAATTGTATTAGTCAAGTATACTAGTAAATCAATATAATTTTTAAAGCTAAAGTTATTGGTACCAAATTACTCTCCAATTATTTTACATCCTTTTATAATGATAATAAAAAAAGCCTTCAAGTAAAAGAAATTCACCATAAATTAAAAAAATTTCAAATATGTGCTTAATAGTACCAATTTAAACAAATTTAATTTTTCCCTGAAAAGTTGGGATATAGACTTCTCAATTATCACAAAATATTTTTTTAGAAATGTACTTGTAAATAAAAAATGCGAAGATAGTAAAGACTAAGCAAGGGCAATGAACATGAAAATGAAGAAGCGTACATTGTGTTCATCATAGTGTTTCAATTCATCTTCGGCAGTATCTAAAGCATCAATAATCATGTCTACCGCAGTGATTGTCTCCTGAGTTCTTTTTCCTGGCAAACCAACTGATCCCTCCTCTGGAAGTTCTTCTCTTAATGCATATTTGTTTTCATTTGTTTCCAAATCAGATTCAAACATCTCTTGTAGCCTTTTCTCTCTTTCCTCCTGCACATTGAAAATTAACCAAGAGGATATGAGCTAAATAGCAAACTACTAAAGGCAATCTACTTTAAATGCAACAATTTAAAAATCAGCAACATGCAAGAATAACGAGACTAGAAAAAAGAGCAAATCACCTCAAGGAAAAAGGGTTCCTCAGTCCGATCCCATCTACGGATGGAACGATCATGAGACCCCGTGATGAAGAAACCACCATGTGAACTAATTGTTAGGCACCAAACTTCAGCATGATGCCCCTCAAGAGTTAAAAGCAACTCAAACTTATCAGCATCCCAATACTTCACAAGTCGATCCTTCCCCACACTAAACATGTAATGTGTATTATGTACAAATTTCACATCCATAACACTGTAATGAAAACAAAAATAACTCAGATATGTTTCATTATCCAGATTAAAAAGATTTATTTTAATGAGAGAATGCAAAATGACCTGTCAGCATGAGCAAACAAGGATTTGTGACAGTCACCAAAGTCTAAACCCCAAATCTTCAAATTTTTGTCTGCAGAACCAGTAACAATGAGATCTCCATCCGATGAAATGTCCAGGCAGAGTACAGGCAATTTGTGACCATATAGTGTAAGAAATTTCTTTAAAGTATTCAACAAATAGACCTGCAGTTATGTTTTTAGATATATGGATCAAATCACTGATAAACCGCAACTCCTACAAGACATCATTATAAGAAGTTATAGAACATAAATTGAAAGAAGTTTTTGAGTTCAAATCAATTTAGTTAGCTGGATATAGGTCACTACCATCATTATTAAACTTTTCCCAGCAATAGGAGGTTGGCTTAGTGAATCATTTTTGTTCATTCACTTCTACGCTTATATTTTTTATCCATGTTGCCATAAATTCTACTAATTGTCCTTACTAATCTTCCTATTCTAATTTTATCGATCTTATATCCTGGTTGTACATGGATAGACCACCTAAATATAATTTCAATTGCATTATCTTCAAAAAATGCCACTCCAACTTAATAAAATCATTTCTTAATTATACTTCCAAATTTTGTGACGGATCCATCATAGCATTCTCATTTCCATTATGCTAACTAACTACCAACAACTTTTTAACTGCCCAGACCTCAAATATATGCAACATAGTCATCCAAATTGAGTTTTATAAAATTTAACTTAGGTTTCCAAGATATCATCATATCATATACTACTACTAAAAAAATATCACCATTTTAACTACTGAATCTTAACTCTAGAAAGTATATCCTTATCTATATTTATATTATTATATAATAGATCAAAAATAGGGTATACTGTCATATATATTATTTTTGTTCAACTAAATTTAGGCTAACTTGTAAACAAATTCTAGAATGATCTAACTTCTCATTTATTTTAAGAGATGGCCTACTAGTTAAAACCATGCTATTTGCAAAACAAACATACATGAAAGCACGTCACTTAGAAATTCCTTTGTAAGAATCTCCATAAACACTACAAAAAAATATTTGAACTCAATTAAAAAAAAATTTGAATGCTAATGTTTAATGTAATCTTTGCTATTGAAAATTCTTTAATAGGCTCAACATAACTTTGACATGAATTTTTCTTCCTTGTTGTGAAACAAATCAAATCTCATGAATCATGATAACCATATCTTCACAAAATCAATTGAAATTAAATATTTTATCCATTTTTTATACTTTTCGTTCATTGTCATTACAAAAAAATTCCTTACCATAGTAAATCATCCCAGCATGAAACCAAAATTATACTTAAAAACTGACATAATTGCAATTTTACATTCTATTATTCTCCTTGATAACTTCATCATCACTCATAGGTTTGATTCATCTATGATATCAAAAATTTAGTAATATCCTTTGTTTTAAAATATTCGCATCAAAATATTTCCACTCCAATTATTTGACATCCTCTTGTTCTTCAAATTTTCATTAAAATGGCTAGTTAATTAAAACACTGAAATATGCCTTATAACCTTTTAAATAATAGTAGGTATCACATTATCTCATTTGGAACTAAAACATTACCCATATGAATCTTCTCCAAAGCTAGCTTTCTTGCACCTTCATGGATACTTATTATCTCCACTTCTAACATATCTAAACTTGATCAAAGTTTATACATTTCATATATATTTCCTTAGCAATTTTATATATCTATTTTCTCATTCATGAATACCAAACATACCATAAATCAACAAATATTGCAACTATTAACTTGATCAATTCCATCTTTGCAAGATTTTTTGTTTCAACAATTCCGTCTTCGCAATATTTCTAGTTTTCTTATTAAGTCCTAATAGAGAAAGATTATGATAAAGTTCCAAGAGAAGTGCTATGGAGAGTTCCACATAAGAAAGGGGTTAATAATGCTTACATTAAAGTCATTAAGGATATGTATGCAGTAGTTGTTACTTGTGTTCAAACACAAGGTTGTTTGACCAAGTATTTTCCTATTTCAATTGGATTACATCAAGGATCAGCCTGAAGACCATATCTTTTTTGCGTTAGTCATGGATGCTCTCACAAGGCATTTGCAAGTAGTTGTACCCTGGTGTATGCTTTTTATTGATGATATTCTTCTTGTTGATAAGAATAGAGAGAGAGTTGAAGGTAAACTTGAAATATGGAGGTCAACCTTAGAGTCTAAAGGATTTCGATATAGTATATTTAAAACTAAATATATATAGTGTAATTTTAGTAATAATAGATCTAGTAGGGAGATTATGACTTTGGCCGATCAAGTCATTAATAAAAGTACACGTTTTATATATCTTGGATCTATTGTTCAGAGTGATGGTTAAATAAATGGGATATTATTAGTATAATTCAATTTGAATGGTTGAAGTGGGGAATGTATTGGGCTTGTTGTGTGATAGAAAAGTCCCTCTCAAACTTAAGGGAAAATTCAATAATTAGTGGACCAACAATGCTTTATGGTGTAGAATGTTATAGCCATTAAAAGAGAAGCATAATATTAAGTTAAGTGTTGCAAAGATGAGGATGCTCATGTGGATGAGTGGCTTTACTCTTAGATACAGGATACAAAATAAGCATATACGTGAAAAGGTTGGAGTAGCTCCTGTGGAAGATAAGATTAGAGAGAGTCGACTTAGATGGTTTGTTCACATAAAACGGCGGCCTTCTAATGACCCGGTTAGGAAAGTAGATGCATTAGATTTGACTTATGTTAAAAAAGGTAGATGAAGCCTAAAAAGACTGTTAAAAAATATTAGAAATGACTTTTCTTTATTAGATTTAGATGAGAATTTGACTCTTAACATGACACAATGGAGAAAACGGATTCATGTAGACAACCCCAAATAGTAGGATAAAGGCTTGTTGTTGTTGTTGAAGTTGTTATAGTTAAGAGAAAAAACAGCATTGATGATCATCATCTGAAACAACAAAGTTAAAATGCTATCATTTAATAGAGATCTATTAAAAATGCATTTGGGGAATTAAAAAAAGAAAAAAAAAAGTTTTGGAACACTGTAAACTAACCTGGACAGTGCAATCTAACAAAGCAACAACAATGTACTTGCTTTCTGGACTGATTGAGACCACAAGAACATCATCACTCAAGCTCAAAGTTCTTACATTCTTCACAGTCAACTGCTTAGAATCCTGAAAAAATAAGCACCATAATTATGTCATTTGTTATGCCATTAACCATAAGATTAATAACCAGAACAAAATATAAACCTTGATCTTCAAAACCATGCATCCCACTTGACAAAAGCAAAAAAGAAATTTTTTTAAGAGAGCAAATGGAATCTGATGGTAAGATTGTAGGAAATATTTGATTTGTTGCAAGGGGTAAACTTAATCATGACAAAAAATGGTTACGGAGAAACAATTTCTCTACTAGATTTGCATTACTTTCAAATGATTGCTAAAGAAAATAGGCGGAGATTTATTAGTAAGAATTAGCATGTAAATACAAACTCACTGTCTCAGTTTTCCTCTTTAGCTGATATTCCCAAAACTTAACATCGTGATCAGCACTTCCAGTGACAAAGCCGCTGCCAACAGAACCATTGACATCTGGAATTGGCACAATGGACCGGATAGCAGCAGAGTGAGCTTCAATAACATCAGCACGGGTTCCACTTCCAACATCAATAATCTCCAAGGTTCCACTTTTTGTTCCAACAAGAGCATAACGGTCAGCAGGAGCAAAGGAACAGCACAAACCATAACCAGACTCAATTGTGCGAATACAAGCACCAGTACTAGGATTCCACACCTTTACAGCGTTATGACTGGTCGATAGCAAAAGAGTGTTGTCTGAGCTCAGTGTGACACTTCTTATATCAGACCGATGACCTGGAAGCTCAACTGTATGTTTTTTCTCAACTCTTCCCTCCTCAATGGAATAGGTCTCCAACATATTATTGTTTAAAGACAGGGACAAAGTACCAAGGCTGACTTTAGTACTAACCGTAGGACAGAAAGCAATGGAGCAAATTTTCTTGCTTGCACGTAAAACCTGTAAAAGTTTGAAGGCATCGGAGACTAGAACATCTGGCTCTAAGACTGACATACCTGAAACATTCTGTAAAGAATCCAAATTCCCATTTTCTTTTCCCTCTTCAATAGTCTTTGCCAAGAGCTTATCTTTCTTCCTCCTGACACGTCTTTTAGCTTTACTCCTAGCACTGGACGCATCTAAAACACGATATATCTCAACAGTCCTCCCGGCTTCTTGGCATGCAAGAAGGCTCCCGGACTTGTTAAATCTTACAGTCGCAATTCTCTCCTTGTTCTGACGCTTGATTTCCCCATAATGCTTCAAAACCTCCCACTTACTAGAATTGTCCATTTCCTCCAGCTCGTTTCTTATTAGGTAGAAGCGGAGTTCAAGGTCAGCCGACCCGGTCACCAAAAACCTTTCATTTGGATCAACATCCAACGACCAGACCTCACTGTGGTGCCCGCTCACTATCTGTATACAATGCTGCATCTCAAGATCCCAGACCCTAACAAACTTGTCTTTTGAACAGCTCACAAGCTTTTTCGCAGAGTCAAGGAACACAAGATCTGTTACCTAAAAAATACCAGTGGTTTTCACTTAATAAATCAAGCAATGTTTCTCAAAATAATGGATATACAGCAAATACATTAGAACTTAACCTGATCTCGGTGACCCCGGAGGCGAAACATCCCAGTCTCGGCGACGACATCCCAGAGAATGATGTCGCAGTCCTTGCTTCCAGAGGCAAGGAACGAGCCGAATTGGTTATAGCGGAGAGCAGTAACAGCAGATTCGTGCCCGTTCAGTGTTGCCTCACAAGTGCCTCTGCTGAGGTCCCACAGACGAATGCTGCCATTGGCGTGGCCACTGGCGACGGAAGAAGAAGATGAAGAGGAGGAGGAAGGGGAGGAAGCGATGGAGGAGACGGCAAGGGAGTGTGAGGATCCCGAGGAAGGAGAAAGTGAGGTAGAGCAGATTCCCTTTTTGATGTCCCAAACGGCGACGGAATCGAGGGCACCAGCGAGGAGGTGCTTACCAGAAGGGTCGTAGGAGATGTTCGAATCTACGGAGACGATGACACCAAAGACCAGGCGGGGCTCGTAGCGGAGGTAAGCTTTCACCATTGTACCGGCGAAGCAGCGGCCGAGATAGCGTTGGCGGGTGCTGCGAGCGTGGAACGTATGAGGTAAATCGCTGTTTACGGCTTAAATCCCGGATTTACTAAATCCCTCGGTTCGGTGGATTTAACAGCGCGAAAGGGATATAGTTAACTTCACAGCCAGCGAGCTCGTTTTATTGCTTCCTATCAAAATGTCGTAACTTCCGATCCGACAGGAAGGGAAAGTCGTCGAAGGAGCGAAGTCGAGCCACGAAGGAGCCGAAGAAGCGACGCATGCAATCTATACACCTCCTGCAAATCAACGAAGCCGAACAGCAAAGACGAAAAGAGAAGATGAAAGGTAAACCCTAGACGCCTTAATTAATATAATTTAAACTATTAATAATTAATTAAATTAATTAAATAATTAATAGTATAAATAGTGCATAAATTAATTATCTAATTTAACTTAATTGTATAATTAGTAATTAAATATTAACTTGATTAGCTTAATTAATGTAACTTAAAATATGTATTATTAAATATATAATTAATAGTATAAATAATAATTAATGATTAATTTAAAGTTAACATGTCATTAAATTCATAACACATTAATTTTTATTTTTAATTTATAATTTTTATCTTCACATTTAAATCCCTATCATAAATCTTGAAATATATTAACAAATAGTTTCTCAGGATTTAACAGGATTTAACATTTGACATACCAAACAGTTTTCAGGATTTAACACATTTCAGTTTAGTGGGGGCACAAATTAATGATTTTCAAATTACTCTCAATTATTTTATGATGATTTTTTTTTTGATATTTTAATTTAATAGTTCATAGTAAAGTAATATTTAGATTTTCTAAAATATTAATATTTGTTTGTAATAATTTATTAAATTCTATATTTTATTAATTGTATTCAAATTTATGATTACTTCAATCTTAAATATTTAAGTATTATTTTTATTTAAAAAAAAGAACATGTGTGTGCATATATATATATATATATATATATATATATAGTAATGCAAACGCGTGAGGAAGAGAAAATTCAAATTTTTATAATTTAGCTTAAAATTGCTGAAACAAGATCATGAATTTCTCAATGGCTCAGATGGTTATAGTATCTGAGTGATTGATTCTGGGAGGCGTAGGTTCAAATCCACTCTTTGCCCCTTAGCCTGTTGTGTGCTTCATTTACTGTTGAATATTTTTGTTATTGGGCTTTCCTATTATATAGTAATGGACTAGTGGGGGCCCATGCCCCCCCAGGGCCCCCACTCTAGCGAAGAGAATGAGAAACTGAAAGATGATTGAAACTAACAAACCATTCGGCTTTGTGTGAAGGAGTCATGAAAGGAGCTTCTTTGCCTTCTCCATTCTCTTCGCTTCTTTAGTGAAATTGATATTTGAAACCCTAGGCTCTTTATCCCACAATCCTTTCAATTTCTCATTCTCTTTTCTAATTTCTCCTTACGGTGGCTCTTTCCAAAATGGTGGTTGCGAGAGAGGTATGAATCTTCTTATTATTATTGATACGCCGTCCAAAAAATTATCTTGATCGGGCACGAATCTCGAGGCAAAAAACATGTTGGAAACTTCAAATTTTAAATTCGGGATCATCTGAACTACGATTTCAGCGAGCTTACAGTCAAACTGAGTGTCTCGGAAATACGAATCCAACGACTCCAAATTCGACTCAATCCGAGTCCAAATGAGTCCAAATCAAGGACCGAAGCGCTGTTAGAAGCTTCATAACACTGTTTGAGTTACTAAACGGTCTCCAATTTTTACGAGCTTATACTCGAATCGAACGGCTCGACGAGACGAATCTAACGAGCCTAAGATCGCCGAATTCCAACATCTCTAAGACCTTCAAATGTCCAACGAACGGTGCACGATCGTAGGATTCAAGATCAACCGTCCATTCAACCACTCCCAACTAACCCTTGATCCTCCACCTATTTACGGGTTATGCCATTCCCAAAATCTATAAATAGAGCCCCCTCTTCTCTTGAAAGGGGACCCCCCAGAGCTTAAGGAAAAAAGAGAGAGATCAGAGATCGCTCTTACTTCTTAGCCTCTTCGACCACCGCCGGAGTTTCGCCGGACCACCACCGGACCACCGCCTAACGCCATCACTCCGCCGGACCACCACCTGACGCCCTGTGCTCCACCGGACCACCGCCTAATGCCGTCACTTCGTCGGACCACCACCTGACGCCCTGTGCTCCACCGGACCACCACTTAACGTCGTCACTCCGCCGGACCACCACCTGACGCCCTGTGCTCCACTGGACCACCGCCTAACGCCGTCACTTCGTCGGACCACCACTTGACGGCCTGTGCTCCACCGGACCACCACTTAACGCCATCACTCCATCGGACCACCACTTAACGCCCTGTGCTCCACCGGACCATCGTGTAACGTCGTCACTCAGCCGAACCACCACCTGACGCCCTGTGCTCCACCGAACCACCGCCTAATGTCGTCACTCAGCCGAACCACCACCTGACATATTGTGCTCCACCGGACCACCGCCTAACGTCGTCACTCCGCCGGACCACCACCTGACGCCCTGTGCTCCACCGGATCATCACCTAACGTCGTCGCTCCGCCGGATCATCACCTGACGCTCTACGCTCTGCCAGTCTTTCACTTGAAGCTCTCATCTTTGACAGGCCATCATTGAAGATTCTCATATTTTCCAGACCTTCATCTAAGGCCCGAAGTTTCTGCCTTATCATCATCTAAGGCCTGAAGTCCTGCCAGACCATTACTCGACACTCGAACTTTTATTGTACAATTGCTACTTGTAATCTGATCGTCCTTAGAGACGAATCAGCCCATTGTAACCAACTCAAGTTCTAGTGAAATCTTTTCAACTGGGCTAGGCCCCGTGGTTTTTCCCCTTTCAAGGGTTTTCCACGTAAAAAATCTTATGTTCTCTGTGTGTGAACTGGATATCCGTATAACGCTAAGACGAACAATTAAAACTCTATCGTCGCGTATATTCTAGTCCACAACAGTTTGGCGCCGTCTGTGGGAAATGATAATCCCACTATCCTGAAGCATCACCGCCATGGTCAACAGGCGTATTAATCGCATCCTTGGAGCCTCCCGCTCCAATTCACATCAATCTCGGAATCATTCCCCTAATCAAGGACGTCAGGAATCTGCCTCTTTTCACCCTGGTAGTCGAAACCCTGTCGGAGAAGGAACTTCAAGACCATCCCTGGAAGATCATTTCAGAAAGATGGAGGACTTGCATAATGAGATCTTTCAACTCCTACGAGAAACTAGAGGACCGACACTAGCACCTCAAGAAGATATACTTCTTCCTCGAGACCCACCAGAATTTGAAGATGTTCTTCATGTCGAAGTTCCCCTTCCACCATCAAGAATGCGTCCTCCAACACGTCCGGAAAATGAGCTTGCTGACACATCAAGCTCTACAGATCCTTCGCGGGTAGGCCGCCAACATCACATTCCTCCGGATGCCCCCGAAGATTTAACTCGGCGACACATCGTCGAACTCCCCCGTAATGCCCAATAGCATGAATTACGAAGACTAGTATGAGAAGAGTTCCCCGTTGAAAATATAAGACAATCTCTTCGTCATAGAGATTTTTAGGAGTCATCACCCCTGACTGAAGCCATCCTTCAACACCCTATTCCAGCAAGGTTCAAACTTCCGAACATCGATTCATACGACGGGACATCTGACCCGTACGAATATATCGATCACTATAGAACCATAATGCACATCCAACAAGCCTCTGATGCGCTTTTATGCCAAGTCTTCACTGCTACCCTCAAAGGGCAAGCTCGAACATGATTCTACTCACTGTCACCCCAGTCCATTCCGCTATTCGTTAAATTGGCCAAATTGTTTGTCAAACAATTTGTTGCCAACCGAAGAATGATTAAAGACTCCTCCCATCTTTCAGGGATACGTCAGAACGAGGATGAATCTCTTAAAGAATACTTTCAAAGATTTTCCATAGAAGCCCGACAAATTCCAGGAGTAGATCCCGAATTGCTTAGAGGTGTATTTCTTGGAGGGCTTCGCCCGGGCCCCTTCTACTCGGCACTCATATGAGAAACGATCAATTTATATGCGGATCTAATCCATCGAGTAGAGGCCCAAATCACTGCCGATGAAGCCATCAATGCTCATAGGAAGCAATTCGAGCAGACAACTGGGAAGAGTAAAAATCCCCCAGGGATGGAGAACCCCCCATCACAAAGGAAGAAGCAAGGAAGCTACAATCTTCCTCCTCGACCCTCACAGCCGCGACAAGAACCTCATCAAGAAAAGGAGTACACACCACTCAATACATCCCAAGCAAATGTATTAATGGCCATCCGGGATCAGGAGAATGTAAAATGGCCACACCCTTTGAAATCCAATGTCAGAAACCAAGAGCAATATTGCCACTTCCATCGTAGCCATGAGCACACTACTGAAGCATGTTAGCAGCTCAAGGAAGAAGTTGAGAGACTGATCCGGCAAGGATATCTCCGACAATTCATCAAGAATACCCCAGCTCGAGATGAAGTTGGTCCGATCTGGGGGCAGAATCAACAACAAAGGCAATCGATAAATAATCGTCAAATAGTGGGGGAAATCAGAACCATCGCTGGGGGCCTATCCACGCCTTGCCGAGTTTGAATTGTGTAGAGCACAATAGTGCTACTTGGTTTAAGTATCATATGTCTTTAGTATTGTGTGACTTCAGTACTGTTTGTCTTTAATTTTGAATGTTGTTTGTGGTGTTTGTAGCTTCTCCCTCCCTAAGCTATCTTAGGGAGCTATGCTTTTATTTAATGCCATAAGACTTTATTTTCTTTATCTTCTTCGAGTAAAATTATATTCGCACAAGCTGTAAACTGTGGTGTTTGTAGCTTCTCCCGCCCACCGTGGTGGTTTTAGAAACCGCCTGAATACGGTTCTCAAAAAAAAAAATGCTGCAGCCGGTTAAAATCGGCTGCCAAAATTGCGCGCGCCAAACGGCGCTCGGTTTCAGCGCCGGCGGCG